ACTGAATCTGGGGGGGGGAGCAAGCCGCAGAAACAGAAGTTGCAAGTATGAGATGGAGAAATTCAACATGTGTAACATTTCTTAGCACAATAAGTAGAAGACAGGGATTTTGCATAAAGTAGTTTATCATGCGATTTTACTGGTTGTCCCAGGAGAGCAAAAAGGCTGTGAAAGTTGCAGGAGGTGCATATAATCTTTTTTCAGCTTCTTACTGCCAGCAATTTCTTCTTTTCTCTGCACGTGGTGTGACAGCACAGCACACAAAAGGAGAGAGGAGTCAAGCTGAAATGAAATGCATGTTTCACAGCATTCTTGCAGACGTGGAGTTAATTGAAACAATTCTTACAAAGGTTTCCTAAGCCAGGGCATCAGAAAGTATGCACTGACTGTTATGCATTGGCTATTCTGCTAATTTTGACCAAACATGAGAAAAATTTAGATATCATGTACCTTGCTAGGACACCCTGAAAATGCAGAGGTGCTGTACAAGGAATTGATGCACTACAGGCAGAAAGATCTTCCTGTTAATAGAGAAACCTGTCTGGACAGTGGACAGGAGACAGGGATAGAAGTCTCACTGAGGACACAGCACCTCTGGGGAAGACAGTGTAAGGGTGACATTTGATCTGTGCATCCAAAGCACCCACAGGCCGAGCAACCTGCTATACAGGAGATTTACCTCCCAAACTGCCTTGATGGCTACTAACTTTTTGGTTCCAAACTGACTGGAAGAAAGCTGCAGGGGCTGGAGTCTGCCAGCTTCCACCTTCTTACCATGACCCTCCCACCATGCCCAGCAGTGTTTTCACATTGACTTCCACAGCACAGGAGTGAACCAGGGACATGTCACTGTGATCACTTCCCTTCCTGTCCTGAAGTTCTCCCTCCTCTAGCAATTCACTTAGGTTTGCAAATGCCAGTCTGGCCTTAGTACAGTATTTTTTTTTCAGACATCTGCAGAACGCTGTCCCTGCGGTGTCCACCTATAAAAATACCCACAGCATCACAAGATCAACTTCTAATAGTGAACAGGGAGGCATAAAAGCACTACCATGTGCTTTTGCTAGCCAGGCAATGCCTGTAAACATTGCAGTTAAGTTCCCATGGCCTAAATCTAGACTGTCAGCTAATACAATGCTACACAGATTGAAGTTTAATAACTGAGACTTCAGCTTCACTTACGTGCTTTGCAGCATCCTTAGAAGACAGCTATACCTCTGCTTCAGTCTTCCCTGAATATACATTAATATCTAGGCAGTCAACCACCCAGCTAAAGATTGATGCCTGGGTTCCTCAAGCAGTATAGCATGCTGTGATTTAGATAAAGGTATTCTACTCATTTTTTTATGCTACCTAACCCCCATCCCATCTGTGGATGCTGCATGCAATTTAACTAGATAAAAATGTTTTCTTTAGATACTAAATTTTAAAGAACAGCTTTTTTTCCCCTCTTCATTTGGCATTCAACTATCCATCAGGGTAAGCAACAAGTGACTTGGCAGATAATTCAGGACATATGGCTTTGAAGAACTGGTAATTTAAAAGTACTTGGACAAGTTTCCTCAACTCATTTACCTTAATTTGTGTTATTCTCTTTTACATGTCCCCTAGCAGCTGGTACAGCTAAAAAAGTGTAGAAAATATAATGCAAGTGACAAAATAACCTTTTCCTGAGTTGTATTACTGTATACCACAAAAACCTCACTCAGAAACTGAGTAGCAGAAGGAGTCAAATACAGTTCAAAGCTGTTAAACATACACACATGCCTCATCTGTAGTCACCAGGTGGCACCAGATGTATCCATATATTGCCAATTAGCTTAAACCTACTGTAACCCATGTGGTCTTTGAAGTGAAAAGCATATCATGTATGAATATTAGGTAGAGCCCAATAGCTGAGTGGTCAGCAGACTAGAGAGTTTAGATATAGCTTTAACAAGATCTGACTTGGTTTGGGGGTTGTTGGGGTTTGTTTGGGTTTTTTCTGAGAAGGAAGTACTGAAGAGTAAGATTCAGTAGCACCTCCTAATTTTGAAGATACTGGTTGGGAAACTTTTCAAAAAATGCAAAAATGTATTATTTTAACTAAATGCATTGATTCTTGGTCAGCATTAACATCTTTTTACACTTTTTCCCCTTTTCTTTTTAAACATTGAAATGTTAAAAGAATTAAATTTTGGAGAAGAATCAATTATTTCAAAAGATACATTTCAGCTGTCCTGAAGAATTGTAGCTTCTGTTGATACAAGAGGAAATTTTCTTCTGGCATTCTGACATTGTCAATGAGCTCTTGAATTATGTAGGAAATCCTATGCTTAAAAATTCTTTTGTTTTACAAATATAATTACACTATTTTATGAGGGTGAAGCTGAAATTAGCTATGCATCATACATGGTATATTATCCTGTGAATATAAAAAAATTAGTGAGAGCAAGTTCATTTACTTGTAAATCATGAGTTGTATCAGGTTTTTTTCTGTATTTGAATGTTCATAACTTTCATCACTAATGAAATATTTGGGAATCTAAACTGATTTGTGAGCTTGGCAGTATTTAGCACGTGCATTTTTCTTATTCCTTATTATCTGTCTCCTCTGTGAATAACTTTTCATCAGGGGCAGAAAAAAAAAAGCAGAAGGATGAAATCTTGACCTCACTGAATCATTGGCAAAACTCCCGCTAACTTCAAGGGGCCAGGATTTTACCACACATGACCAGCTTTATACAAAGACAGAAAACCAAACAGGCAAATATACCATGTTATTAAAAGCACAGAGTCTGAAAATGAATCATCTAAACAATACGGCAAATGTCTACAAATAAAAGTAATCAAAAAAGTCAAGTTGTAAGTTGAAATAGAGTTTCAAAAAGAACTCGATTCTCCAGGGAAAAAACATATCTTTCTGTCTAAACACTGAAAATATAAATTTTAGTATATAATTCTAAGCATCCAGATTTTATATCTTTAGCCTATTGTAATGATTTCTGAGCCAGCAGGTACTTTTGATTATATTAAGTACGCACAGTTGTATCTGCTTCATTGCAGCATTACTGCAAAAATGTAATCGACATTTACATTCTCTTCAGCATGACCCATTCCTAAAAATGAACCAATGTGATTATCTACACATACGACACCCACAGAAGCTTAATGGTTGTTGAGGTCCCCAGTGCAAACAACAGCATGCGCATGTAAATAATCTATTTGTCTAAAGAACATTTTTTGCAAGCACTGGCTTGCAAGCAATATTTGCATTGACAATGGGCAAGCCTAGCCTTGGACAGACACAAAAGGAGATGGCTCTGTTCAAACGATCCATGATTATTCTTCATGCTTTACAGTAATGGAAAGACCCTCAGCAAGTACAAACAGAGAAACCAAGGAAGAGAAGGAGAAGCAGCACTTGTCATACCAGCAGTGGAGTCTGGCACTGAAACAACACGCTTAAGCTCCAGCCCACAGAGCTAACTTCTAGTTTGGAGGAAAGAAGTTTGTGGCTAATTTAACACTGTAGTATGCATCCAAAATGTAAGCCTATCTTTCATCTGCTATAGCATGAAGCTCACCTAAAACAAGTTTTACTATTTGTATTCATGCGTTTCCATCACAGTAGATGTGGCATATACCAAAAAGTAGTCCTGAAAGTCTGAAAAACAGCCTGAAATTTAGGCACCTAGTATAAGGTAAATTTGTATACTCTCTCTCTAGCTAGTCCAAAAAGTCGTTTACGCTGTCTTAAGACAAATAATTGAGAAAGACAGCATAAGTTGTTCTCCAGGTATCTGCTGGTTCCCCCCCCCCCCCCCCATTGATAAGGGGAGCCCAGGCAGCCAGATGAGAGATGAGACACAGCTTTGGATGGCTACTGTCAGGTGAGATGAACTCCACTCTGCAAATGGCAACTTCTGCTATAGAGGCTGGAGAATGGAGACACAGGTGGTTTAACTGGCTTGGCACAGGGCCATGCACTGATCCTTCCAGGTCCTGGTACATTGCATTGAGAAATTCCCATACATTGTATTCTCATCTGCACTATCAGTTGAGAAATAATGAAACAAGACAAACATAGTGAATCTAGTTTTCTTCCCTTTCTCTGGCATAAATCTGTTGTCATTATACGGGAGCTCTGCTTTTACTTGCTAGAAGAAAAGGCAGACACACACATTTGTACAAAGACCTACTATCTTTCTTTCTTTCTTTCCATAACCAAAAAAAGCATAGAATTCATGTTATTTTATCAGCAAAAATTATACTCTTTACCTATTATCTGCAATTCTATCCATAGCAAGTACACTATACTGTAATTAAAGTATATTGTATGCATTAGCTGTGAAAGGGCTGTAATCATTTCAACATACTATTCATTGAAATACATTAATACAGTACCTATAATACATGAAAATTGAAATAGATTAAAATAGAATACAATATTATAACTATTTTTAAGGGTTTTCTTCCTGGAAGATTCCTAGGAATATCAGAATTTCTGGACTATGTTATCCTGTCTCCACTAGTTTCTTAAAATGAGAAAGATATGCAAGAGGCTAGTTGCCTCCTAGAGATGTCTCAAGGCAGTGCAAGGGGAAGCAGAGTAGGTATCATATTTATCATGAGACTGTATGTAATGATTTTCTCCTTTGAGAGAAGACAGGGAGAAAAGGAGAGGAGTTTGTACCTTTCTAGCTGTACTTGATAGGATGGACAACTACTGGAGAGAGGGCTGAAGTTCTGATCAATTGGGTCATGTCTCCCAGTGTTGCCTGCATTAATGATCTTAAGTAATTAATTATTAATGATCTTTAAAGGTCCCTTCTGACTCAAACCATTCTATGATTCTATGATGTCTAAACACAAATTAATACAATGCATACAGCAAAGTCACTGATTTTCTGATTTTAAATACTTGTGATAGTTAGATTTGTTTTTCTTTTTGCGCACTCCCCTTGCACAATTCTTCTCATTAGAGCAGACTACAAACCTAGAGAAAATCCTGCACATACCTGTTTCTCCCCACTGGGCTTCTTGTGGTTTAACAGCAGCTCCACAGCACCAACTACCTCCTTTCGTATGGCATGCAACAGAGCGTCTCCCACATATACATTAAAACTTAAGAGCAGCTCAATGAGCTCAAGGTTCTCATTTTCAATTGCAATAAGGAGTGCAGTTCTTCCCAGGGGATCAATGCAATTAATATTGATCTTGAAATAAATTTCTGCTTCCTCCAAAGCTTTCTTTACACTGGCATAATCTCCTTTCTCCACGGCGTTCAGATAGGCTTTCTCTGAAGGAGACAGTTCAGATTCTGCCCGTACAATACGAAGAGGGATACGATCTCTGTAGGGAGCATTGACACTTCTTTTGTAGTAGAACTGGGCCATATTTTATGCCATTCTAATACTTTGTCTCTGCAATATGAAAAGAAAGATTAAATCAATAATATATTTTGGGGGTACAGTGCACCAAATTAATATCTGCAATATGTAAGTATTTCAAACTCACACTAAAAAGTGATGTTGAAATAAGTACAAATGATCTCTATCAATAGAGCTTGTCAGATCACCAGTAAAATGCGGAAACCAAAACATATAACCAAGTTGTCGCAACTTACCAACTCAAAGCATATCTGTCAGCATACCATTCCCTTGTATGTATACCTCATGCATGTCACAGGTTTAAGGGAATACGATACAATGTAGTTTGCACCAAACCTGTCGCTCCACTTTATCCTTAATTTCTTCATTAATTTCCATTGCCTCATGTTTCCCACAGTTTAAGAGTATTCTCGTACACAGTTGCTCCTGCTGCTCAGTAGACTACAGGGCACGTACACCTTTAAAGCTTGATTACGGTAGTGGTTATGTCACACAGAGATTGGTTCAGTTGCCCACAGAAGGTACCTGCGCCTCTGAGATGCACTACTTATCTCATCTGCACTCCAGCACGGCTTGCGTCCTTCACAACGCCTGTGCACATTCGGTACCTCCGTGCAAATGTCTCTGGTATCCTAAACAACACAGGCGTCACCCAATCCTTCTGTGCAGACAACTAAACACAGCCCTTCTTATCTGTTTCTTCAGCTTGGGCAGAAAGAACTTGTTAGAGCTAGAATAGTTATTAGCATTTACATCTTTCAGTGCTGCTGAAATATCCTGACTTATCTTTGGCAGGCACAGTTCAGTGGTGAGCTTTCCTACTAAGATTTTGATTCAATCTCATATGCTATTAGAAAAACATTCATATAAAATGCTTTTTCAACCAGCACTTACTAGGGTATAAATTAGAATTCAGAGCCTAAAAGGAAGAACAAAATCCATACGAGAGAAATTCCCAAGGACTGGTAGATAATAATCATCATTTTGACTCTGAACTATTCAGTTCTAAACTGGAATTAATACTGAAACACTGCAACTGTAAAACAACTCTAAAGTCTTACATATAATAAAGCATTTAATGCCTCTGCTTTTACTCTGTATACTTTGTGCAAGGACTTCACAAAAATAATTCTTTCTAACAGGATGATTTTCTCCTGTCTCTGCGGGGGGGGGGGGGGGGGGGGTTTTTTTTTTT